TAACATCAAATCAATAATTTTGCTACATTTTACGATAGACAAATAGAATTAAATATACACCCACAGCAGTGCTGCGGTTAGCATAAGTTCTGGCATCCACCGCTTGGAGTGTCGTGTAGTTAAGTAGCGTGTGTGCCGTAACTACACGACACTCCAAGCGGTGGACGCCAGAACTTATGCTATTCACAGAACTGCTTTCGGTCTATATTTAGTTCTACTAGTGTCTCTGTTGCTCGAATTCGAGCAATTGCTAAGTATTAGAGGCGTTATTTTAAAAGGAATAACGGTCATAATTTCTGATGACTTTAAAAGATTCGACCAAAAGATTATGGAAAGACTCAAGATGTACATAACAGAATATATCAATTTATCCAGGCTCTCTCGCTTTTTTCCATTGTAATATTTACGCTAATCCAAATTCAAATAGTAAATATTTCATTTCAACCAAGTCAGTAAATGTTTGTCGCAAACTGTATTAGCAAACTTATTGAATGTTTAGAATTAACATATGCTCTCCTTCTCACTTTTAACTTCTGACAACAGCTGGAGTTTCATAACAATTTATATTTCCCATGTTAATCTTATGGAGAAATACGAAACTTTAAAGGTCCCCAGGGCCTCACTCTCTAATTATTTCCCTAAAAAGAAAGTTTCCTGCACAACTTCAAGTTACGCAGGTTACGCTCTTTCCAATGGCACCAAAAACATGTCAATCGGTTCAGTAGTTTCGGAGGAGTAATTGTCACAAAAAACATGCTTGCGTATTAAATAAGTAATAGTTGTCTATGATTTTACTGACCATTACTGAGTAGACTAACCCGTTCAAAAATTGTTGTTATTGGTATAGGTTTTTGTGTTTATAATATTTAAAAAAATTGTAAGGTAATTGAAAAGGTATATGAATATGTATGATTAAATCGATCAATAATTTTTGGGGCTCAAAAGATTAAGTTACCTAACATTTTAATATGCCTGTTAACATATTCAAATGTTTAATATTGTGACTCATGACAAAAAATTAAAATTGTCAACATTTTTTTATAGAAGTTCAGACCTTGTATACAACTGGAATAATAAATTATGCTATTTTAGGATGGTCATACTTTTGTCCAATACCACTGTCTGGATGAAGTGAGCTGCAAGAGTATTCATAAAGCCATTAAACATACTAATGTCCTACATTGGGATCAACTTTTGATTTTCGAAGCAATACATGAAAGACTTGTTCCAGGCTTACAAGAAATTATTCAAGAAAAAGGTCTAAGAGTGATAAAAAATGACAAATGCTTCCAAGTCTGGATGCCTCCAACCAGAGTGAGGAGTTTGAACGAGTCGTAAGTTCATAAGTAGGTTTGGACAGTCTTTTTAAGAAGATAGAAGTTGTATGCTACAAAACTATTATTGTAGATAATGTTTTTTACTATATTGTCTGAGGAATTCCTCCACCGCTTATTGAATATTACCAAGAATGTGCTTTGAGATTCATAATGTAAAGTAGCTATGGCTTTGTCCCATTCTGGAGCAAAAGTTTTAACGGTTCAAACAGTACTCACAGAATGGTATTTGAGAGTGAAGTTCATATGATTAGGCTATGGGGTAAAAATAGATTTTTCCCATTCTTGACCCTCAAAACGTAAAGATTTTCTAAATTTCTCTTGACTATTTTGAAGAGCTTAAAAAATAATTAATTTAGTAAATAGAAGTGTTTTTGTCTTGTTATTGGCTATGGAGAAAATTCCAAAAAATGTTAAATTTAAAATTTCTATGTTATTCTTATGGCAAAGAATAAGTAAAAACTGTTATAGTTTGCTTGTTTATAGGTACAGTATGTATTTTGATCAAACTTGTCAAATTTATATATCTAATATATAAAATTCTCGTGTCACAGTGTTTGTCTGCAAACTCCTCCGGAACGACTTCACCGATCGGTATGAAATTTGGTGTGTAAATTCTGTAGGTATGCGAATCGGACGTAAACTATTTCCCGTTTCGAAATTCTTAAAAGGGCTCCACCCCAGTGGCTCTGGAGTTTCCCATGTTAACCTTATGAGAAATGGAATTAATGAATCTTAACAGCTGTTTCAATTAAACAAGTTGGTTCTGTTCTATGATGTTCAATAGCATTAAAGTTACAAGGATTACCAACAGGGTGCAGCACTATTATTTCTTTTACATTTATGACAACAGCTAATTTGCAACCAAAAGGTGAGTGAGCGTAGCGAACGAACTTCAACCTGGAGGCGAGTGAGCGTAGCGAACGAGCTAACCTGGAGGCGAGTTAGCGTAGCGAACGAGCTCCAACCTAAAGGCAAGTGAGCGCAGCGAACGAGCTCCAACCCAAAGGTGAGTGAGCGTAGCGAACGAACTTCAACCAGGACGTGATTGAGCGATGCGAACGAGATCATCTTGAAAATTAAACGTAACGGTACTTTCTTTCCATCGGTCTGTCTTAGGGGAAACCTATAACTTAGGCGATACGAAGTTCGCCGGGTCAGCTAGTATATATATATATATATATATATATATATATATATATATATACTAAGCTATTAATATTTCACAAAAAACGCTCTTTATTACCCTCTGTGTAAAGCAAACCTAGGTACTCATTAAACCTAATGTTGTTTGAATAGATTTAAGTGAAAATCAAATCAGGTAAATGGAAATTTGCTTAGTCAGCAGGTTTGTTGCGGGGGTTCTATTATTTAACTTTTTTGTTGCCTACGTTCTTAAGATGGTTAACTTTAGGGATGAACTAGAAACTACAAGGCCTACCTCGAGGACACAGGCAACAAAAGGTGTTATTTGTTCTTGCTTGATGATTATACCGTGAGGAAAATGCAGGAACCCAACATGGGCAGTGTAAGTTAATTACCTAAACCATTCATTAGATATGTGCTTTCATTAAAATTGGTTTTTCAGACTGCCACCCCAGATAACTCTATGTTCTTTGGATGGAAACCACACACAACAAATCCACAGATACTGGGGATATTCTGGACCAGGAACTGAAGTAATAGTCAGAGATAGTCTTACACTGAACGGTGGTCTTGGTCTCAGAATTGGCAAAAACCACAGTTATGTAGGATGGTCAGTGGAACAGCATTATGGGGGGATAGGCATGTTGTATGTTCATCCGGAGTATCGAAGACAAGGATATGCTGCAGCGTTGGTAAAAACTATGGGAAAACAAGCTGTTCTCAAAGGAATTGATCCTTTTGCCATTATTGAAGAAAACAATAATATGTCTAGAAATCTATTTGAAAAACTCCACTTTGAACATATTTGTACGGTTCACTGGATTGGAGTACAGGCAGGATAGTATGTGAATATTTGGAATCCACGTATGTATATTTTATAATGTACCGGTACTAGAATTAGACGTTTTCCAATGACTTGTGTAGTATAAGTTCTAAAGGAAATAAATTGATCTTAAATGTCTCATGTCTTATATGTCACGTTTTTAGCCCCTCAGCTCATGTACATATCGGTAATGTAAGACTGAATTACAGTTCTAAATCAATGTAGGTATCCCATAGTTTGTATATGTTGAAGCTGCTTTTAAAGGTAATTACTTTGTAAGTTGTTTTCACACAATCTCCAAACAAATAGTAGTAGTGAAGGCCTACCAAAAATTTTGTCAAATAGGCCTACTTCTTTTTAGGCCTACCTTAATTTTTAAAAAGCTAAAGGCCTATGACTTGTTTCCGGACCAGTATAAAAACGGTACATAATAATACCACTTTACCTTAAATGGAAAATCTTATCTTGTCTTAAACCATATTACTATCTGGGAGGGCCAGCCTAGCCCTGTTGTCAATTGGACACTGTTTTGTGTATTGTGACTGTTCTATAGCCTATAGGTTCAATTTACAATTTTCAGTGACTTTCAATAGTTAATAGACTACAAAATAACTTAATAATAAATCGATTAAACAGCCACAATAGGCCTACGACAAGTTGTTCGAAAGCTTTATCGTTAATGAACTGAGAATTAACTGTGAAAACTTTAATGAATTCAAAACCATAAGACTAGGCCTAACGCGAAAGAAATATGGACACATAGTAAATACATAAGATTTTTGACCAGGCGGTGGATACTGAATTGTGTGAAAGGAGCGTAACATGGCAATAGAATCATTATTTGATTTACTAAATGTTCTTTGCTGATTAATAAACATGAGAATGTAATTCTTACTGTTTTTTAATACCACCATAAACAAGTTTTGCTATTGCTCATAGCGCTAGTTTACAGGGTACTTACGTATTAAACGGAGGCCACATTTTGTCAGCGCGCTGCGGCGGTTATGTTAGGTTGGGTTATCATAATAGAAAGTATAACTCGTCTGGTATCGTTCGATTCATAACGAAGCGAGGAAAGTCCTACACACATAATATTTACGATAACCCAACCTAACATAACCGCCGCAGCGCGCTGACAAAATGTGGCCTCCGTTTAATACGTAAGTACCGTTTACAGCTTAAATGATTAGGCCTGCTATATTTGGGCAAACACCATAGGAGTCAAGGGACTATTAGGAAATTATAATAAAACCTAAGACACATGTTAATAGTAAACAAACTTTATCAACAAAATTTAAGGACTAACCTCAAAACAATTCCGAGGTTAAACATATTAACGGATATAAAACAACATGTTTAGGAAGTAAGTTAATGCTAAGATTAGAATAATTAATTTGTACTGACATGATATATGTTTAAAACAAGTACCGGTAAGTTAGTCTGCCTACATTAAATAAGAAATTTTCTTATCCTATAAGTAAGTTAATACTGCTGCAAAAAGACCACAAATTTGAAATCCTATTTTTGTTAAATTTTTCCAGGCCTAGAGTGTTAAAGGCAAAATGGTTGGTACATAGCAACAATCATATGCTCTTTTTATTATTTTTTTTTTTTTTTTTTGCTCAAGAATAAATATTAGGCTTCTGTGATAGTTTTGGCCTAGTCCTGGCTAAGTGGAAACTAACCTAATGTTACCATTAATCCTGATTTTTGCTCTTTTCCACTTGTTCTGAAATGATTTCTAGGAGTTCATTACGCATGTTAACAACAATATCTTTCTTTATGAATGGGACTTGTTCCAAATGTCCATGGGTAGTAACATGATGTGCTAGGTTTTCTAGATTGCAGATCAAGTAGATTCCACAATCATAGGAGTTATCTTGTTGAAGAGATGTCATCTCTTCCAAATTAACCTCAGAGGAAGGGCTAAAGTAATTACCTACATTGCGAGCTAGCTTCAAAGCTGGTTGGTAGTTCGTGTGTGAGGATGAATCGAGATGATAGAACTTGTTTTCAAGGCGATTGTAGACCAACAAACTCCAATGAGAGCCACCAGCCGATTTTCCAGAGTCATTCACAGCCATAAAAATAAAATCTTTGTGCTGAGCCTCCAAGGGGTCTAGGAAGATTGGAATTTCACTTGAGGGGCTTTCTTTGAGACATTGGGTGACCTCCGGTCCTATGAAAAGCAACTCATTGTGGTTTCTGAATAGTTCTTGTTCCAAATAAACAAAATAAAAACTTATGATTGCATCATTCAGCCATCCATTGCTTTGGAGAATTTTCAAATCAGATTCTCTAATGATACAGTCGTAGTAACTAAACACAACCACGTCTTCTTTTCTTGTCATTTTATATCTTCGTCAAATCCGACGCAAGGTAAACTATACAACAATATTAATTCTGTATTAATCCGATTTAATCGAAAACCTCATATCACACTTGCACGTAGTATTTGAGTAATTTGACACTTAAATTTTGACATTTCAGATCAAGGGTACAAAAGCAAGCAAAGCAGACGACTAGACGAGTCAAAATAAAAACAATATGTTTTTGTAACTACTGTTCATAGTTTAGACAAAAAGGCGGACGACATAGTGCTTAACCGAACCGCTTAGCCTAGTCATGATGAGCGTTATTGTACTAATATTAATGTATAAGAAAAGGTTTTATGTCTGTGGATTGACGTTTGTATAAATGTCATAAAATGTGTTTGTAAAATCTTAGATATAACAATGTACGACTCCGTCGTAATGTTGAACTAAACTATCAGTATTTTCAATTTGTAATATCATACAGGTAATGTTTTCAGTCATAGATTAATATATAACTATATATAGTATGTTGTAACTCTTAAGAAATTATAAAAGCTAAATCAGATAAAAAGTGTATTATATCTAAATGGGATTTTTGTTACTGTACCTGTCATACAGTTCCAAAAGTAAGAATCGTGTTTCATGTTTCGGCGAGGTGCCATCGTCAGACACTTCAGTCCATGAAATAAATACATTGAATCCGCTTGATTAGCTTAGTTTGTTGGTTTTTAAATACAAACAGACACTGAACACAGGACACATACAGGCACGAAAAAAATTAATACTTTTTCACAGAGATAGGCCTCTCGGGACCCGTAGACACAACATTGCCGGTATGCGAGTATAGGAACAGACTAAATAAAGGAAGTTGGCATTTGGGGAATGGGCAGAAGCTTGATGACAGAGTTTATTACTAAAACATAAATTCTATGATTTTTTAAACTGAATATATTGTATTTTTGCGGTAGGAATAGTTGTTAAAATCACGTGTTAATGTAACTCCCCAAAGTCTCAATAATGCAAAAACTTCGTAGGCTACGGTACATGTTTATTAAACATTTCTTGGGCCATGAAATGAACTGGGAAGCTTGTACACATTAGCCAAGACCAATTTAATTTTGTATGTCTCAAAATATAGCTTGAAAATAACTCATTTGAGCACTTAATTTCCCATTTTTTCCCAGACCCGCCATTTGCATGGGGGTAATCTATACCCCCGCCCCCGATGACGCACCCCAGAATATAGGTCTATAGGACCGCCCTTGAATCCTTGTAATATAGTTGGGAAGTTCAAAGTCTCTCCCCAAATATTTTATATGTGTGCAAAACCCCTGCAATACGCTCCATTGAAAATTAAAATTAGTGTAACAGCTGTTTTGTTTGCCGGAACAGTGTTCCCACTTTTGTCTCCCCTACGACCCTGTATTAGAGGAGGCTATGTCAAACATATGGCAGTGGTTTTTATATCCAACTAAACTAAAAATCAAATTTTGAATCGGAGTTTCAAGCAGTAGGATTATTACAACACACACCCCTTGGTTGGGGGCTCTCGCTCTACTGTAGGATTTGACCTTTATTTTTGTACCTATCAACAAAATTTCTCAACTCTTCTCCTCCTATTGGCTGACACCTGGGGTGGAAGGGTGTGAAATTACTTAGCAATGTTGAGATCTTGAGGTTAAGTTGGAAGTTTCCTTTCTTTGGTTTTTATTACAATACTCAATAGCCTCATGAAACTGCTGGTCCATGAAATGATGTAAAGCTATAAAGACAGTTAAGTACCATTACCGTATAAGTCGGACTAAGGACTAAGACAATCCAGTAATGACCACACAGACAAGATAGTCAGTGGCGGCTCTAGAGATTGCAAGGCCCAAGGCAAAGTCCAATAGCCCTCTCTTAATACCTGAAATGTGTCTTTACGGGTCCAGGCACCACCTTGTTTGCCTTTATGTAGGGCCGCCTCTGAAGATAATGCAGGCTGTGGTCTGCAACCAACAATGTTTGGTCTGTCGGTCCAAAGAGGTATCACTTAGCCACTGAGCTACGATAAGGGGTGTTCTCTTAGCTGTTCTATTATAGGCAGTGTAATTACATCCTATCACAAAATGATATTATGACAAAAATTATTCTTGAAAATTCATTAGAGTATGCTTAGTGACAGATAGTTGAGATTGCGGTGAAAGTAATTAATCAAGATAATGTTGCAAATTTGAAACCAACTAGTCAAAATCTGAATTTTGTATATCTACTTCATACTCATAATTTTGGTTGGTAGTTTGTGTAAAAAAATTAGTAGTAAAAAATTAGTCTAAGGCTTAAAATTTCTTCCTAATAAAAATAATATATTACTTATAACATTTTTAGTCAAAACACAACATGGGGTTAGTAATAGACATTTGTTTTTGTAGAGTTTTATTTTACTACTTGGTAACAAAATTAAGCTAAACATATTTAAATTATTTCCTGACAAAATACATTTTTCAGTCATATTATAAAACTTTTTGAAGGAATGTTTATTTTTATAAAACTATTACAGTCTATATTTATTTGAATTTAAAACAATAATAAGTGTAAAGTGATAGTAAAAAGAATAAAAAAATATTTCCTCATCAATCTATTATCTATAAAAATTTTAAAAGTTGTATTATTTTGTAATAGATTATAATCATCTGAAACGTCAAACAAATAACCACCGATTCTTTCTCATGCAAAATAATTGTTATTAGTATCAGTAACTTTAACTGTATGGAAATGCATGACTCAGTTATAAAACCTAACATATCTGAGTTAGGCTGTAGTAAAATAGTAATCTAAGTGTAATACAATTCATGATATTGAAAATTGTAACTCTTAACCAAATTACCACTCATTTGGTAAGATTTCTACATTTCAAATATCACTTTTTCTGATTTATTGCTAGTTAAATATTTACAACCACTGTACAACAAGTCATTATTATGTACATTATACAGTATCATTAAGATTTGTAAAATAAATTAAATCACAATACTAATGCTTCTTCAAGATAATTAAACTTAAAATTATTTCTACTCGCTCCTAGAGACATAATCAAAAATTACGTAAGAAAGTAAAACTACACTAATTCTCTTTATTAACATGCAGTACAAATTATTGTGGATATGGAATTACATACAATAATATTGTGAATCTGGAATTAGACACCTGTTTGGATACCAAAACATGTCTACGCACCAAGTGAAAAAAAAACTTATTATAGAAAAAAACAAATAATTATCTGTTAACTTCTCGGTAAAATTAAAAGTACAAAATAATATTGATAAATAAATCAAATACTTGTAGCAAAACAGTTGACTTGACTGATTTGCCAAATAAACGTTTTGGGTGCAAAAAGTGACTGAAAATAATTATTCATAGTAGGAAATTGTCTGAATGATTCTAGAAAAAGTTTCCTTCTCTCACTCAGTAAATACTGTGGAGTGTGGAGCTTTATGACTATGTTTAACTGGTACGTTTTGAAGGCAGATAGTTTTTGAGTAAGTTACAGATAGTTTTGAACACATTATAAGCTTTTTATTTTATGCTTCAAAATTTACTACCTTCATATATGACCTTAAAGAAAGGTCATAACTTAAAGAAAAGAAAGAGAAAACTCATCAACAATAAATTTTAAAAAAAATCTACAGAACCAGCTCAATAATTGTAACTGTAAAGATAACTATAAAATAATGTATACTTAATGCACCTTGGTGTATAAATGCTTACAGTACAATACTTCAAACTGAGATAATTAATTTAAAACTAAAGTAATTTACAACTAATATTAAGATGATCTACACTGTAGCGTTGTAAGTGGTAACATATTGCCTGGCTCATCACAAACCTTGTATAAAATATACATCAATCCAGGAATCCAGGACTTTGGAGCAACTATATCAGGTTGTAATTTCTCTTCGTAATTTCTAAACAGTAGATTTGTTTTGAAACAAAATACAAATCACATCTTTTTATTACTATAACTATCATATACTATTATATTTAGTATAACGAAGGTCACTTCTTGAATAGAAGACTGCTTCCATTTTTGTGGTCGCAGCATATAAGCCACTGAGCGTTTGGATTCTCCTGATAAATTGGTAGCAGAAGTGCATTAGGGTCTATTCTTCGTTGGCCTGAAAGTAAAGATTACTTTTTAAGAAGACTTGCACAGTACAGTGTAATTCTCTGATAATTTCCTTCATTTCAATAGCCAACACTTAGCCTATAACAATTATCTAAATACATGTTTAGTAAAGAGAAAAAAAATCTTACTCCACCATCAAATTAGTTTTCCTTTCATGGTCTTAATTAAATAAACAAAAAATGTTACTATTTGCTTTATTGATTGTTTTATTTCAACCCCAATATGAAAATTTAAATAAGATAATTTCTTCACTCTGTATATGAAGATAAATGGCTCATTTTCGTAGAGCTGAGCTTTACGAAAACGGTAGATTTAATATTTATATGATTTTGCTTGTCCTCAATATTACTTTGCCTGTCCAAAACAATACTTTGCCTGTCCCAAAGAATACTTTGCCTGTCCTAAACAATATTTCGCCTGTCTCAAAGAATACTTTGCCTGTCCCAAAGAATACTTTGCCTCTCCTAAGCAATACTTTGCCTGTCCCAAAGAATACTTTGCCTGTCCTAAACAATATTTTGCCTGTCTCAAAGAATACTTTGCCTGTCCCAAAGAATACTTTGCCTCTCCTAAGCAAAACTTTGCCTGTCCCAAAGAATATTTTGCCTGTCCCAAAGAATACTTTGCCTGTCCTGAACAATACTTCGCCTGTCTCAAATTAAGATTCTGTTTAGCTCAACAGGAGAACTAATAATGTATGTATTATTTTATCACGAGAAATAATGTTCCAAACGTACTTTTTAATACACTGTAATACTACTACCCTAAGACAGAAAATTACTAGACTATGGAATAATATTTAATGTATTTCTATGTACAAGAGATGAATAAGGTCATTTTGAATTGAGTTGAATTGAATTAGAATATTTAA